AATATCTCGCTTTCCCTCCGTAATAAATATACTGAACCACCATTGCTTGCATTGTTTTAAAAGGGTAAATCACCCAGTCTTCAGCACCCATCCTGGCCAGGAGTCGTTCGAATCGCCACGAATTTCGCCGCGCATTTTGTCGCGCGCAGCTCGAATCGCACGAATGTACACATACCCAATGAATCGTAGTCTGAAATTGTGTGATAAAACAATTCTCATAATGGCTACCGTAATCCAAAACTCGAGTTGAGCGTCTCAGTCAGTAGTTCAATCGATCAAACATCATTGCTGATAACTGTTGCATCTCAATGGAACCTTGGCGTAATATGAGAAAGTGTGACTTATTCTCGACAAAACGTAAGCGTAAGCAATGCAAAAACTCATTTACGATTCCCTGTCCCAAAAATGCGTCTTCGGAAATCAAGTAGGCGAAGTTTGTAAGCTAAAACTTCACGAGGTCGACCAAGAGCTTTCAATGGTCATGCAGAATCAAAAGTGAAATGATATCCTCCTTCACATCCAACAGTTAACATGGTATCTGATAGAAAAAAGACCTATTGACAAGATGTTGAGGGGTGGATAAAGTGTAGATCCCAGACACGCTAGTTCGACGGGATGCAAACCAAAGTTCTGAATTTAAAAAATCATACCTTGTAAGATCACGAACGAGCGGAATCCTGCGCAATGGGCTGGAGTATTTTTCGAACGGCTGTTTTGTAGAAATGCGTGGTATTGTAAAACCCAATAAATTGACCTCATATAGGCGAGGCGAATCTGAACCGCTTCCTAAAGTTAGAAAGACGTTCTTCTCCGACATGGAATACTTCAAAAGAATAGCTCGAAGCCTTTTACAGCTAATGCTTTGTATTCAGACGAATTTAGGTTGAGCGACTTTATGCACAAGAGACCATGAAAACAGATTAATTTTTCTCACAAACAAATTAATACAATTAACAGTAGTACAATGGAAGCCAAAAATAGGTACTCTTCTAACGCAATAGATAAAAAGTGAATCCTGGCCGAAAACAATGTGCGAACAAATGTTCCCCACCATTAAATATACCGAACAAAGCGTGGCGCTGAAGTGTGGCCGATCGTCTAACTAGCTATTTAGGTGGACATCAACGAAGTTTCCAAACTTTGGGTTCGTTGGTCTGTCAGCCAGTCGATCACCTGTTTTCGGAATTCGCCTCTACTCTTCATCAGTAACTCTAACAGAAGCCAACACGAGTAAATCCGAAAACTGATGCTCAACGAGATGGCAGTCTCAATCCCAAAAATCAATGCGGCCGCAGAGCCGGCGGTCAATTTAGTTCAACGCCACACAGTGGGTCAAAGCTACAAAAGAAACTAGTTACATTACTAGAAGCAGGAAAGGGGGTAACAAAGTAAAGCAAGGTGAGATACCTAACGCTAACATCGATCACATGATCTCAAGCAATGAGTAACGTAAAAAGTTGAGTATGATTTTCATTCACATGTGCACAGTTCGACGTTTGCCCTCCAGTGTTTTCAGATACTCCTATGCTCCTTTGGGTCTCCAAGACTATGTAAACAGTATATGTACACTGTCTGTTTGATGAATTGGTCTTAGAGTATTGTACAGAAGAATTACTATCATTGAAAGGGAATATCAAAAGCCTTCGGATGCTAGAAGGAGACTGGGCGAATAGGCTTGAATCTCTATTCAACCAAATTGAGCCTTGACTGACATTAACGAGCACAATCAAAACTGCAGAGCTCAAAGGACATGCAGCACCTAATTGAATCAGATTAAGGACAGTGAGCATAGATAATACATTTAAAAACCATGAACGAACATTCTTCCTATGACATTACTTCTTTATTTTCCAACTCCACCGTTCCATCATGTTTCACTGCTTCTACTTTTTTTATCTTCACTAAAGCTAATGAAAGCATCGAATTCCACATTGGCAGCACTAGTACAAGTAACAGAGGTAAAACATTCGACCCGTACACCAAGTGTTCTTTGATTAGTCGTAGTAGAGCGCTGATGAGCTGAAAATAAAGTTACAAACAATTCCTGGTCAAAAGAAAAACGAGTAGGAATCATATTTGAAAACGAGCGAAAGTGTTGGACTGAACAAAGCATACTGGCAAAAAGTCAAAAAAAAAACACGCAGGGCAGAGCGGTTCTCATTCGTCTTCAGCATTGCACGGGGATCAGGCAACGGTAGGCAAAGCAACACCAATCACTATTTGCCCGCTCTCTTTCACGGAACCTATTTTCACTGGTGTTAGAATTGAGTCGATGACCTTCACGAAGAGATTAGAAGTTCAGGAACAATCATGAAAAATCAATCAGGCACATTCAATATCCGAAAAAGAGTCTCCGGCACCAAACAAACATCACCGAGTGCACTGATTCAGAGTTTATAGCAGTCATTTCGGTTGCCCACTTGAGCTGACACCCCATATACTAGGTATAAACGCTGAACCATGACCACAAACAGCAGGGGTTAAGTTCAAATTTTGAATTTGTTACATGCTAACGCACTTGAAATAGAGCAAAACAACAGGAAAATAATCTCAAGAAACCAAAAGATGAAGAACAGCTAAAGGCAAGTTTATTAGGATAAGTGGGAAAGATGCCGACCACAAATCTAACAATGATTGTGTGATGTTGCACTTACCCTTCGTGCTCTTAGTATCAAACTATCGCGTCAATTCTAAGGTGCCATCACTGCGATCGGTGGATTCCCTTGTTTTCGATTGTAATGAACCGCGCATCATAAAAGTGAATTAGATCACAGTGACCATTCAGGTGACTGAGAAGCCACCAAATGACCCCTCCGGTAACTGAGGAAGCTTCAACGGGTCATTGGTAGATTTTAAGAAGNAAGAAGCCACTAAAGCCCCACCAGAGCAAAATAGCTATTTAAGCAGAAGAAACACTGAAGTGGTGAAGTTTTGATTTGAAAAATACTCAAAGCAGCCGAAAGAGTGGTCTCAACAAATAATATCAATAAGATATTACTCACAAAATCTTGACTCGCAACAGGAGTTTTCCTGAAACCCAAAATAGGCCGACCATAGGACAAGAAGACCGCTAGGATTCCTGCTGGATGGCAAGCGAGAACCAGTGCGGTCCTTACAAGAGCTCGTGATCTGAACAACAAATTCAAACATTTTTGGCCAACACTATTGGCTTGCACCATGCGGTTGAGAACCATTCAAAAGCGTGTGCGAGTATGAATGTTTATGTCGATACATGAGCTTACAGCGTCACATTGTAGCCTCGATCAAATTTCGTTAGTCTCAATGAGAAGAGTAAGGTCGATTTCGTGGAATAGTTACACGTTACACTCCTCCAAAGCCGCTTCCTTATCAACAATATGTAATATGATTTCAAACATACTTGGAGTCATTATCCATTGTGCACTTTATCATCAAAGGCACTGCTACTAATGCAAAACACACAGCAAGGGAGAAATTGACTAGCGAAACGGATGCGGTTGCCAAACAACACTCTAACAAAAGGAAGAACCGCAAAGATCGTATTTCTGTCACTGGCCTGCAAAGGAGCTACTTTATTTTGAAGAAGCACTCATTGAAAAAAGTTTGGCTTACGAAGGTAGCAGAAGTCCCCATGGGATCACCGTGCTGATTCCCATATACATGACATCTGCACGAGGATTGTTCGTGTAATATGAAAAGTATGTAGAGCAGAGCCACCACGAAAGTAGGCCGACAGCATGCATTACAAGTAACGAGCGAGGGAAGACAAGTTCGTAGAGATTAGTCCAATCACGATATGCCTGAACATTCCTACGGTGAGGCGCTGTTTTAATGGAGAAGCATTCTTTACAGTGAATCAAATGCGGTACAGTTAGGGGAAGGATACCTTCATAGTAGACCGGCACTGGCCTAAAACCAAATTGTTGCAACGTCTGCATTGGAATTCGCCAGTGAAACAGAACCGAAAAGAAGCTATCCCAGTCAGCTAACCTATTTGCTACTCAATTCTTTTAGCGTTGCATGAAAAGCTTCAACATATGTAAGGCTATCGTGCTTTCGTATCAATAAATCACACCTGTTTATCTCGACCTCGCAACACTAAGGAACTCAAGCAAGGACCACGTGATTCATGTTTTAAACAATGGGATCACTAATTCATTTGAATAGCTCTTTTCGCTTTGTTAACTAGAGCAAAAATCAACTCAAAATGCCAATTTCAGCGCCTCATTTCTAATGAGTTCCTTCGGTGATTAGCTCAATCGAAGGCAATCACTTTTGAAGATTCGACAAGGTCTGAACGTCCACTCGCGCTGGGTGCTTTTGCTCAATGCCCTACCGGCCCTTTCACGATGTGTTTGTGTTTTTGTGTGAACCTGTAGTAGACTGAAGCGTTCTTGATTTAGAAGGAGTTGGAAAGATCAAAAGAAGTTACGCGTTTGTCACATAAGAAGGTCACTCATCCGTAATTATGCGCTGAAAATTTACTCAAGTGGGAATATAAAACCGAAGTATTCGCAAACCTATGACAAACCCTGTAAAGTCTGTCTTGTTTAGGTTAATCACACATGAAATTGTAAAAGATGACTCACAAAAATCGCAAGTGGTAACAAGAGTCCTCCAATGATCGGCATAAAATAGGCTATTGAAGCAAAGTTGTCGGGCGACGTTAGGATATAACTGAAACGGATGTTCAATTCCAGACTAACAATCTTACAAGCCGCAATATTACGGATTATGGTAGCGTATACAGTGGCTCACTGCTCCGTCACAGTTTGGTCGTTACGACAACAGGTAAGAAAACCAATGAGCGACTGTGCACTTCGTGTACACGGACTCCACGGACTCATCTAGTGACAAGCCTGCTCTCTCATGAATCACCATAAAGAGCTGTTGATCATGTACAAAGACGCATTCTGTACACAAATAAGCACATGTGAGCATGTGTCAATGTTGTTGTTTCATTAGCGCAGACTTAATAACTACAACCACTGGGCTTGATCGAGTTATAGATAAACAATAACATGAAGAGAACCATGATTACGGGATTTACGGGAAACAATCAAAAGAACGAAGTAGAAGACTTACAGGAAATAGCTTTGATGAAACCGCTCCAAAACATTATTCAGAGCCCGAGCTATGGCTTCTAGAAGACGAGTCGACTTACGTAGAGGAAATAAATTGAGTGGAGGAACTGCTACCGTGATAGCCTTAACAAAGACAATTCCATTTCTGACGATTCTATACAAGACAATTCTATATCTCGAAAACTCAAGGGAACGATGAATAGTACCATGAAAGAAACTAAGAAAGTGTAAAACAAAAAGCAGTCTGAAAAGTTTCCGACATAGAAGTGCAATACTTGAGAATAGATGGGAGGCAAATTCCTGATAGTGAACGCAATCAAACTAGTTCCATTTTTGGATTCAATTCTGAAGGAGATGCATTAGCTCACTGTTGCGAGTTTTCGAACCAACTGTGCCAAAAAGTGCAGAAATGAGAATGTTTCTGCCTTCCCTTTTCTTAAGATTTACTTATCTATCTATTTGAACATAGTGGTCCCAAGCCAGTATCTGGCCATACAAGAGAGACCCCACATCCCGCTTCGTTCTAGTTTTTACGAGCCACCTGCTTTTAGAAGAAATGCGTCGGTCGCGAACAAAAGCGCCTGCTTGGAATGCCTACCTGCACACCATACTTGCCCATCACGCTGTGTAGTCCTACGACAGCGATAAACGCTTGAGTGTACATAGCACGCAACGGCACCAGCATGTGCGAGTCTTTGCCATCCTAAAAGTGCTGTAATTCATCCATCTGTGTTACACCCGAAATGTATTTATGAAGTGATATCTCTCTTATTATAAAGCAGAAACTTGGTGTGTCGGTTTGTCGGTATGTCTGTCGGTGTGTCCGTCCGCAAACTTTTTGATTACGATAAAGGCAGTGATATGGGAAGCCTACCTCTCACATTTCCTTCTTATATATAAGGC